GAGTTTTACTGTATAATATATTCCTATTGCCTCACTATATTCGGGAAAAATCAAAAGGTATTTGGACTTTATTATGATTCTTGAAATCCAAACTTCCAAGGATTTTTAATAGGGCATCTCTATTCTTAATCCCCAGTTCACAAATTCATTTATTCATTCATGTATTAATGAGACAGGTCCTATTTAAAGAAAAGTCCATAGAAGCAAGTGAATTTAAAATAAAGAATACACCAAGGACCTAGGATTTCACATTCTCAATTTACTATTCTATCCCACACATCTGGATCATAACCTGATACCTACTCTTCTGATTTCAACCAGCCAGTTTCTGAGTTGCCCTCCCCTTTCAGGTACTGGGCCAGTTATGAGAACCCAATGAACAGGCCTAGGACCTGCCCAAGGTGTCAAAGTCTGTCTCACATACCACCTCACCAACCCACAAAATGTAATATGTCTTTTTTTTCTAAGTTGAAGTAAGCTTCAGTTAAATTTGTAGAAGTCTCTGGGGACTACACAGAGTTTTGGAATCACTGGAAGCCCCTGAGGAAGGGGCAGTTATCCACCTGCAGCCTAGTAGGTGCAAACTGACCCTCAGGATTCACTCTGTCCTTGCTCTATTCTACCCAAAGGACCAGGTCTCTCCCTCCCTATCAATACCGGTAACAATTCTGGTGCCTCCCAACTCCCAGAGGATCACACAAAAAAAAGGTGGAACCAGAGCATGGAGGATCCCTTTTTAAATCATATTTTTCAAACAGAAGCAGAAGTTAATTTCCGGATCTTTCCCCAAAGCTCCTATTATCTCTGCTCTCTCCCCTCCCCTGCCCTGACCCCATGACTAAGTCAACCCTTTCTTAGACATGCTTTTTTGAAGCTATATGAAAGACCATATTCCAGTTAAACAGTCAATCACAGGGTCGGTCTACCTCAGGGACTTGCGTACAATGTCACCGCTATGTTCTACCATCCTGACACCGATCTGAATATTCTTTGCTACCTCTTAGCTCCATCATCCATTTCCAAAACCATCCCCTCAAAAACAAGCAAACAAACAAATCCTTCACTTCATTTTCTTCATGCCTTTTGAAACCAGCAATTTCTTTTTTCACATTCTTTTCCCACCAGCTTAACTTCTGAATGCTAGAATCTCCAGTTATGAGATATGACTTAAGATTATTTTCAATTACCTATTGTTTGAAATATCTTCACCTACATTGTGGAAACTGTGTTCAACACATTCCAAATGTAATTCATTATCCGCCCCCATCCCCGGCCCGCCCTGCATTTTCCCTTCTGTAGATGCTGTTCTCACTATTGCCTAAGCAGATGTGCCCATGTTACCCTCGACTGCCCTCCATCTCCCATGTAATCAATTGTGAAGATTTCCTACTCCTTAAAATATTTTAAGCCTATAGTTTCATCTCCATTTCTATTACCAATCCTTATTTCAGGGCCTCATAAATTCTAATTTCTTTATAAAGCTGCCTAACTGGCCTCCCAACCTCTAATCTCGATCCCCACCCTGACCCAGGACAATCCACCCTCCACACTCCCATCATACTGGTCTTTCTAAAGATGTAAACCTCATCACTTCCTTCCCCTGACTAAAATCCTACAGGTTCTCCCCCATCAACTTCAAGGTACAATTCACATAACAGCATAAACTACAAGGCCCATGGGGTCTGATCTGGCCCTGGCCTTACCATTTCTAGCCCCGCTTCTGACCACCATCATCCAGATTAAAAATAATTATAGTGGTTGCTAATATATAGGGACGCTTCCTCTACTACAGTCATGGTGCGAAGTGATATATGTAGGTACTTTCTACTTTCTCATCTGAGCCTCACAATGACCCTGTGAGTGAACTGTTATTATCCCTGTGTTACAAGTTGGCCCAAGGGCACCAGGCTGGGTGCAGACACAGGCTGTCTGACTGCTCTAAACCCAGGTCCCCTTCTGCCTATGGTGCCATCCTCTTCCATGCCTCTAGATTGTACACATCTGCCTGGGGTCCCTTGCCTCCCTACCCTAATGACAACTCTGCCTCAAAGTTCTCAGCCTTTGGTGAGCAATGCCAAGATGCAGGCAGAGTCATTAATCCTTTGCTTTAATCACAGAGGGGTTTTCTACACACATCTATTGAGCACTTATCTTAAACCACTGGCACATTCTACACCTCTCGCCCCAGTGCTGGAACAAACAAGACAAAGAAACCAAAGGAGCTGTACATGGAGGGCTGAGCCCTGGAGAGGGTCTGGTTCTCTATAGAGCCTCAACTGGAAGGAGTGGTGAGATTACAAGGGCACTAGAGGAGCTTCTCTCCTAAGCTGCTAAGGATCAGAATTGTTGAGCAGGACTTAGATTCATGGCAGAGAGGGTGGTGGATGGTGCAGGGGAGCATGGAGGGCACTTGCTGACATTTCTTGCCATTTGTGTCCTTTTCACAAGAATGGTCAACTCTTTGGACTTCTGGGAAAAAGGCCTGGCTCACTTATTACAAAATTCATGTTACTTTTGCTAACCTTTTTTCCATAATGATGTATATCTTCACTCTACATAAAACATTTCAACAGTCTCTAAGACATGTTGTACAAGCATCAGCAATCCCTTCAATATCCTACTCATCAGCTCACTGTCCTAGTTGCTCCTTCATTTGTACTGACATAATGGAGAAGCATTCCCATTGGTGGGTTTGGAGTTCATATATCTAAAGATCATTAAATGTGGTAGTGTTTTTTTTTTCGAGGAAAAAGATAAAGGAGACAAAAATTTTAGTTACATTTCAGTTCTAAATAAGCATAATGTTTGATTCTTGAAACAACTTCATTCCTAAGAGTCAAATAATTGAGTTTTACTGTATAATATATTCCTATTGCCTCACTATATTCGGGAAAAATCAAAAGGTATTTGGACTTTATTATGATTCTTGAAATCCAAACTTCCAAGGATTTTTAATAGGGCATCTCTATTCTTAATCCCCAGTTCACAAATTCATTTATTCATTCATGTATTAATGAGACAGGTCCTATTTAAAGAAAAGTCCATAGAAGCAAGTGAATTTAAAATAAAGAATACACCAAGGACCTAGGATTTCACATTCTCAATTTACTATTCTATCCCACACATCTGGATCATAATCTGATACCTACTCTTCTGATTTCAACCAGCCAGTTTCTGCGTTGCCCTCCCCTTTCAGGTACTGGGCCAGTTATGAGAACCCAATGAACAGGCCTAGGACCTGCCCAAGGTGTCAAAGTCTGTCTCACATACCACCTCACCAACCCACAAAATGTAATATGTCTTTTTTTTTCTAAGTTGAAGTAAGCTTCGGTTAAATTTGTAGAAGTCTCTGGGGACTACACAGAGTTTTGGAATCACTGGAAGCCCCTGAGGAAGGGGCAGTTATCCACCTGCAGCCTAGTAGGTGCAAACTGACCCTCAGGATTCACTCTGTCCTTGCTCTATTCTACCCAAAGGACCAGGTCTCTCCCTCCCTATCAATACCGGTAACAATTCTGGTGCCTCCCAACTCCCAGAGGATCACACAAAAAAAAGGTGGAACCAGAGCATGGAGGATCCCTTTTTAAATCATATTTTTCAAACAGAAGCAGAAGTTAATTTCCGGATCTTTCCCCAAAGCTCCTATTATCTCTGCTCTCTCCCCTCCCCTGCCCTGACCCCATGACTAAGTCAACCCTTTCTTAGACATGCTTTTTTGAAGCTATATGAAAGACCATATTCCAGTTAAACAGTCAATCACAGGGTCGGTCTACCTCAGGGACTTGCGTACAATGTCACCGCTATGTTCTACCATCCTGACACCGATCTGAATATTCTTTGCTACCTCTTAGCTCCATCATCCATTTCCAAAACCATCCCCTCAAAAACAAGCAAACAAACAAATCCTTCACTTCATTTTCTTCATGCCTTTTGAAACCAGCAATTTCTTTTTTCACATTCTTTTCCCACCAGCTTAACTTCTGAATGCTAGAATCTCCAGTTATGAGATATGACTTAAGATTATTTTCAATTACCTATTGTTTGAAATATCTTCACCTACATTGTGGAAACTGTGTTCAACACATTCCAAATGTAATTCATTATCCACCCCCATCCCCGGCCCGCCCTGCATTTTCCCTTCTGTAGATGCTGTTCTCACTATTGCCTAAGCAGATGTGCCCATGTTACCCTCGACTGCCCTCCATCTCCCATGTAATCAATTGTGAAGATTTCCTACTCCTTAAAATATTTTAAGCCTATAGTTTCATCTCCATTTCTATTACCAATCCTTATTTCAGGGCCTCATAAATTCTAATTTCTTTATAAAGCTGCCTAACTGGCCTCCCAACCTCTAATCTCGATCCCCACCCCAACCCAGGACAATCCACCCTCCACACTCCCATCATACTGGTCTTTCTAAAGATGTAAACCTCATCACTTCCTTCCCCTGACTAAAATCCTACAGGTTCTCCCCCATCAACTTCAAGGTACAATTCACATAACAGCATAAACTACAAGGCCCATGGGGTCTGATCTGGCCCTGGCCTTACCATTTCTAGCCCCGCTTCTGACCACCATCATCCAGATTAAAAATAATTATAGTGGTTGCTAATATATAGGGACGCTTCCTCTACTACAGTCATGGTGCGAAGTGATATATGTAGGTACTTTCTACTTTCTCATCTGAGCCTCACAATGACCCTGTGAGTGAACTGTTATTATCCCTGTGTTACAAGTTGGCCCAAGGGCACCAGGCTGGGTGCAGACACAGGCTGTCTGACTGCTCTAAACCCAGGTCCCCTTCTGCCTATGGTGCCATCCTCTTCCATGCCTCTAGATTGTACACATCTGCCTGGGGTCCCTTGCCTCCCTACCCTAATGACAACTCTGCCTCAAAGTTCTCAGCCTTTGGTGAGCAATGCCAAGATGCAGGCAGAGTCATTAATCCTTTGCTTTAATCACAGAGGGGTTTTCTACACACATCTATTGAGCACTTATCTTAAACCACTGGCACATTCTACACCTCTCGCCCCAGTGCTGGAACAAACAAGACAAAGAAACCAAAGGAGCTGTACATGGAGGGCTGAGCCCTGGAGAGGGTCTGGTTCTCTATAGAGCCTCAACTGGAAGGAGTAGTGAGATTACAAGGGCACTAGAGGAGCTTCTCTCCTAAGCTGCTAAGGATCAGAATTGTTGAGCAGGACTTAGATTCATGGCAGAGAGGGTGGTGGATGGTGCAGGGGAGCATGGAGGGCACTTGCGTTGGCCTTGAATTAAAAGAATTGCCAAGTACAAGGCCCTACTCATTGGATTAGGAAAGAAATCAGAAAAGTATCTAATTGAAGACCAATCTGGACCTTGTATTTACATGCCAGCCCCTTTCACTAGCAAGAGCGGGCATCTGCTTGAACTCATCCCATCCGTGTTCTCATCTGCATTGCCATACCTGTAAACCTCACAAGGAGTTTGTGGAAAACAAAGAATATACAAAAGAGAGAACAAAGGTAACAAAGAAACACCACTTTATAGCTATTTTCACTAAGTTTGTTTCTTGAATAATCAGAGCTAGTAATGCCCTGTTATATCCACTATATGAGTAGGTAGAACTTAATGAGAAGAACCCATGTGGGTAAAATTATTATCAATGGGAATTATTTCTGTCCTCAAATGTTAGGATACAAGGGAGTTTTCCATTTCGGGATTTAAGGCAAAACTGATTTCCCTAGAGGACACCTTTGCAGAATCGCTACCGTTAGACTGGGACCCCCTGCCAGCATGAGAAAGGCATGGCTGGGAGACCCAGAAGCATCTACCAGTCAAAGGGCCGTGGTCCAACACACTCTCTCAATGATCACCCACCGAAGAAAACCCCAGAAACTGCCTCTCGGGCCCTACATGAGGAAATAATAATGATGTCATGAAATTAAATAACACCCTAGTAAACATCTCTTAATATCTCAGGCTCAATATTGTTTGGCATGACAAGTCTTAAAATATAATGAAAAGAAAACTCCAGGGAGGCTTGTCCTAATAATATTCCTTAAAGTGGTGTCCCCTAATCTAGTTTCCATTGGGCCATTGGAATTTTCCAGCAAATCCTGGCTTAAGGAAAAAGAGGAGAAGTGCACAAAATATAAAAATATAATATAAAGAGAGAAGCGTGGTCACAATCAAACATTAACAGCAGTGAAAAGGCAAGCAAGTGAATCATTGTGTCCATGAGTGGTGCTGTGTCCATCTTCATACCTCTTGATGAATTTCCAGCACAGCAGAAGACTTCCTGCCTGTGGTTAAAGTGTGCAGCCTAGACAGGAGAAGAAAATGCAATTTAATACATACCTAAATACACATGCATATATATATATATGTGTGTGTGTGTGTGTGTGTGTGTATACACATATATATCATGTCAAACTTGGCTACCATGATGATTATATGCCTGAGACTTGAATTAGAAAGAAAATAATAATTTAGAATATATAAAGTCAAGAAATCCCTTAGGTAGAGCTTTCCAAAAACAAGCCACATTTTCTGTGCCCTGTTTCCTGTCCTGCAGGACAAAATTCACTGCCTACCTTCCTACCACTCAATTGAATCGCCTTTTGGAAGCGTGTTCTTTGGAAAGAGCCTTCAAACCAAGGTGGCCAGAGGAGGGTTGATTACAATAGCAATGCCAGAATGGGGGGCTTTGCTCTTTGTCTTTATTAAAATGCTAGGAATGTAAAATGCCTCAGTCCTTCACTATATACCCACCATGTCTTTGAACATTTACATTCCCCTAGATTGGCCTAGTAGCTGAAGTCAGGTTCCCCTGCCACTGACCATAGGCGGCCTGCCTGGTCTCTGTGTAGGCAGATGAAAGGCCTATGACTACAAGAGCTGTCCTGCTCATGTTTTCCTTTCCAGGCATCTGCTTCGCTGGCTCTCAGCAAAGGCTGTGTGTGAGAACCATTTGGGAGAGTTAACCAGCCAACCAACAACTGAGGCTCAGGCCCCCAGTGGAAGCCAAGTCCCTGCAGGTGGGGCAGAGAGTGTGTCAGAGTTCCCCAGGTATCTAATACACAGCTCGGCAGGTGAAGCACTGTTTACAGAATACCAGGCACTACCTCTGGATACCCAGGTGTGGTGAATAATAGCATTTCAGAAAGGGCTCTTGGCCACATGTTTTTTGGTAGTTCATCAGCGTCTACCAAAATCTCAGGGGACTTAATATGTGGGGGGTTGGGGGTAGCAGGGGGATGAGTTAGCTTTTAGTGAACTGTTAAAACTATTTAAAATGTATTTCCACCATCATATTCAACACATTAGCTTCTTTATTTCAGGTCAAACTGTTTCCCAAGAGGGCCTCCCATTATAAACCAAATACATTTCAGAGCTCATAAAAGCAAAGAACAAAAGGACATCAATCAATACAGTTTAATTTGATTTAACTGTTCTGATAGCACATTAACCACTCTGCCTGGCCTGGCTTCATATCACTTCATCCCATTCTGTGAGTCTCCATATTACCTGTTTTCTCAGCTTAATAATACAACAAAGATAAACAACATTTGACGGAAGGGGTTCCTCTGTTGGGAAGTTGAAAAAGAAACCTCTGCTGGTCACATCTTCCCCTCCTGCTCTTCTCTGAAACAGGACCTTCTAAAATCAGCAACTCATCACACCACTTCCCTTCCTGAACATGCTTTGACCTCCCAAACCCAGGGGCTCCTCCCTGCTTCAGCTCTACTGCTTGCTTTTTCCACCAAAATCTGGAATTCTGGAGTAAGGAAGCAGTCCTGGTCTTCCTCCGGCAACGCAATCGCCATATTCCGGATGAACGGCTAATGGGAGCCGGTGAACTGAACTGACTCTTGCCTGGCTGATTTTCCAAAGGCTTATGGCCCTAAGTCACTTTGTTCCACATAAATTTCCCTCTTTTTGTGGCTTAGCATTGAATACTGCTGTGCTGCTCACATTTATGAGTGAATGTAGAAAACACAGAGTCAGGCTGAGCCAAAATTATGAGGGAGGTGAAATTAGCCCTCAGCCATTCCTGTCTAACTCCCACCTCGTTCAGAGGAAGAGGTGCCCATTATTTCCTCCTGCAGCTGCTCTACTTAAAGTAGTCCCCCTACCTGCATTCAGAATAAAGTATTAATAGTTGATAAGGGCAAAGTGTTATTACTTAGAAAATAAATGCATTTTAGAATTTTAATTTCTTCAGTTCAACAGAGAAGGCATTAACCACCAACAATGTGAAAGAAAAAAGAAAAAAAATGCATTGATCATTGTCACTTAGCCCTGATCCACACACATTTTGTGTAATTCTCACAATTTCAGAAGATGGGTATTGCCATCAGCCTGTCCCAATCCTTGGCACTAAGCAATTAATTTGCCCAAAGATACAGAGCTATTGTAAATCACAAAATCAGTCTTCAACACTGGTCTTCTACCTCCAAAGTACATGTTTCTTCTTCTGCACCGCAACAACAATGAGAGTACTACCTTTCATTGGTACCTTTTCTTATCATCTCTTTTTATTTGATCCTGTACCTATGTGGTGAGGAAACGAAAATTCAAAAGATCTGTCACCAGCTCAAGCACACTGAAACATCAAGGTAAAAACCCACATATTCTTGTAGCTAGTTCTACCTGTTTTTCTGCTTCCTACTTACTCAAGGAAAATAGTAGTGCTGAAAAATAACCAGTCATCAAGTGAATAAAAAGTAAGAGGGCTCAGAGAACTCAGGGCTCAACACCATTCACTTTGGACCCTGCACTTGGGTGCCTGTCCCACGTCCTATCTAGGACTGGCTCTGTGTGGACATGGAAGACCTCCAGGCATCCTCAACCCTTTATTCGTCTGTTCACTGTGTAGCACAAACAGTGTAGATGAACAAGAATGTGTTTGGAAACCCTTCAACCTGGATTTCAATCCCTGCTGTGCTACTTCCTGGCTGGGTAAACATGGACAACTCTCTTAACCTTCACCTTCACCTTACTTGAAACTCAGTCTCCTCATTGGACAAAGAGAAGGAATAATATTGGGTTCGTGGGAAAATAAAGAACCTGGCAAAGAGTAAAATTGTCATCGTCTTTCTCCCCTAACGTTGCCTACCCAGATCCGACATTCTTGGCTAATTGTAGAAATGTCCAACATAGGAGAATCTTTTTCTACTGTGAGAACTTCATTTTGGATACATGCCATGTGGAACAATACTCCTGGGTAACATGAACTTGGTCCCAGATAAGGAAGCACGATATGGAGTGGTTGCTCCATATCTTAGTTACTCTACAATCAGAAAAGGAATCACTTTTCTCACTATCTACTCATGTCATCTAACACTACATAGCTGATGACCTTATTTCAGGAATTTTGCTGAACAGAAAATACAGGTCCCCATAAGCTTCCCCTGGGTGATGAGCTCTAGCCCTAAGAACACACTTCCGGTGGCTTGAACCCCATGGGATATTGAAACAGAGTATCATGCATTTCCAGCTTCTGATATTTTACCTGAAGTTTTCCAAGGATTTCTTCTTGCTTGCTTTCAAACCACCAGTTTGGCAACAGGCAAATTTAAAATCGATGACCTGGTAAATGATGGGGTTGTACATTGCTGCTGATTTTGCAAGTAGGGTTGGTACCACAGAAAGTTGTATAGGGATGGAGTCTGGCCTTCCAAAAGCTGACCACACAGAGACCACTGCGTAAGGAATCCATGCAATCAGGAAGCCAGCACAAATCAACATTGCCACCTGGTGAGGGAAAGCAACAGAGAACAGAATCGAGACACCTAGTGGAAATGATGGGTGTGGGGGAGGGTCAAGAAACTCATTTACACCCAAGAAAATCTGTTATCATCTCATTTATCTTGCCTATAGGAATCATTTCATACAGACTTCTGAGATATTCATCCAGAAAAAGTTATTGCAATTCTTTATCCCATTTACCTCATCCTATCTCTCCACTCCAGAACTTGCATATACCCAAAGACCCACTTTAACCCGGTGAAAGCTGTCAGATTTTTATTAGATTGGGCAAGAAATCATGCTAAAAGGATATCAGTGCTTCTGGTATTTTCAGATTTCTCAATCCACATTGATGGAAAATATGTTCACCTTGATGAAATTTTAAATCACCCTTATTTGCCTCAGGAAACTTAGAAACTCTGCCCATGTTGGAAATTCTAAGACGAATCTTCTTTAGAAATTCCTATTACATGTTACTTCTTTTGACTCAAGTTTTTCAAGTTTGAGACTCAGTGGAAATTCACTAAGTATAAAGCAAGAAAGTCATCAAGCTTTAACCAAAATGACATGGTTATATAAAACATGCCTTTTCCAGAAAAACTAATCTCTCAAAAAACTATAATTACTTTAGGAACCTTTACACTTTCAGACCAAAGAAAAATCAGGGATAGAGTTTAAAATGCCCTCAATAGTTTCTTAACATCTACAGTTCAGTCCCTTTTGTAATGTAGTCTTCATTGGTGCCTGGTAACTATCTACCTGACCCTATAGATCATCTCACTTCCACAAATCCTTTTCAGCAAGTGCTTTGTGCAAGATATGATGCCAAGCGCTGTGGGGGACACCAGTGCACCAGGGTTCCTGAATTGTATCCCTCTGGAATACACAGAACTACAGAAGCATGAGAAATTTACCCTAAAGTCTCTGGTTCTAAAATTCCACCCAAGAAGGTCAAAGCTTATCTCTAAAAATTAACTACAGCAGAGAAAAACCTCAACGACATCCATGTTGCTCCATTTTGCAAATAGAGAATCTAAACCCCAAAGAGATGGATCAAGTGAGCCCACACCTCCCTCACATCCTAAAGCCCTGAGTTAGGGTCCTGCAGCCTTGCTTTAGGGTCTTGAGCTAAAATTCTCATCTATTCTTAATAGTTATAAACAAGGACTGATACACACATGTAACTCTCCCACTTGATCGCTGTTCCATCTTTCTGCAGAAGCTTACCCAGGAGAAATGTTATGTGGTTTGGGCTGTGTGACTTTCGTTTGTAAATGGAATAGATGCTCAAGGCTCAGAGTGAGGGTCTTTTTTTTTTTCTAAATCCCCACAGAAACAATAATATAAATAAAGCTTGTTTAGCAGATGTCTGGAACTTAACATAGCTCCATCCTTTCTCCTTCGGTGAGTCATATGATGATTTCACAGTATCTCAAAAGCTGTTTTTTTTGTTGCTGCCAAAGTCATTGACAAAAAATAGATTAGTACATAGCCCATAATATTTTCTACATTTTCCATATTTTCTACTTTTGTGGGAGTGTGCAATGGGAAACAGGAAGGACTTAAAACATATGGATTATATTATCCTCTTTGAAAGGAAATGTTACCCATGTTTTGAAGTGAATATGAAGTTAATCCGAGGCACATCCATTTTTTTTAACAACGATCTCATGTTAAAATACGCTCCACAAATATTAAGTATTAAAACTCGGAGATACACTCTATGAAACTTACAGAACTTCCATGTCACCTCAGTTTTCCCAGCGCTGTCTACTCAACCTGCAACGTGTTTAACCTTTTCATCAGCCTGTTGCTCACTTTCCTCATCTCTAAGCGTGTGCTCCTTTCCATCCTCCAACATTTCTCTTCCAGATATCCTTGCACCAGTCTTAACACAAACAAACACCTGTACCCACCAACTTTTTCTAAGTTGTTGCTATTTTAATCCCTTCCCTCTCATCCCTGCCTTTTGGTTCACTGGAAAAGCAGCAGAGCTTCAAATTCTTAAATTAGGCGGTGCTTGTGGGAGGAAATTCACAGAATGCATGTTTAGCTTCTACAAAGGAATCACACATCTGCAGCCCAGTTTGTTTTAAGTATACCTTGCTGCAGAGGACTTGGGTATGTTCCAGCTACAGTTCAAGTTGGCATTAATTTAACTGTCATATAAGCAATATTATGCATAATCAATCATTTCAGTGAATTAATCAATTAAAACAACGAGAGCAGTGGGGTTGTAAGTAAATTCTCCACATTATACAGGGCTCTGTATTTGGGCCCAATACATCTGAACCATTCTAGAAGGTAAGGTTTCCAAGCAGGGAGGTCCTGTCCTCTCTCACACGCTGAGGCAGTGTGGGCTCGTGGGAAAGTCACTGACAAGGAGATACTCTGGGATCTGGATTCCAATCATGGCTCAGCTCCACTGACCCATGTGAGTGGGACAGAAACCCTGGTTCTCTAAGAGCTGCCATTTCAGTTCCATCCACCATCCTCCTTTGCTCAGATGCTCAGATATGAGTAAGAATCCCATTACAGAACCAGTAGACTGCTGATACCAAAGATATTTCAGTGGCTGGGAGGAGATAAGGTCACAAGAACAGAAACCACTACATCTGTGCAGAAAGAATGGGTGGTGGGGTCTCCACCTAGGGAGCTTGTACAGTTGACAGGACCTTAGAGATGGTCAGATTTGTTCTTTTATCTTGGGTCTACCTACCAAGCATATGAATTTGCTCCCAACTAATGGGGAAAATAATATTAAAAGATGGTAATGCAACAGTAATAAGTGCCAGTTACGAGACTATTATTACCCTCCATATGTGGGCAGCCTGTCACTGAGAGACACTACCAGGGGCAAAGAGGAAGGAGGCGGACTTCACAGCCGTGACCTACCTTCTTTGGCCCTCAGTTCCTCCCACGTATAAAAATCAAGGTGGTGGTATTTAACTATCACACCACCTTTAAAGAAATTTAGAAATTCGACGACTCTAAGTATGTTTAGTTTGAGTTCCTTCCTTCTGTTTTATCAATAGAATGAGAACTAAGGCCAGTGTCCCAGACCTTTCCCCATGCACTTAGAAAGAAGAAAATTCCACGCGCTTCAGTGGGTTTGCCATATGTTAGCCTTAGTTGTGATCCAAGTAGAAAATATTATTTCATACTTTAAAAAAAGAAGCCCAAGAAAGGGAAAAATTCTTCACTTCACTGTTGCAATTTTCTCAAATCTTAAAATACCACAGCTCTATAAACAAGCAAAAGCTGTGATTGAAAAAACAGAATATAAATAGGTCAAGTCACTCTATGCATGTGTTTTGGCGTTTTGCTCTAAAAGTGAACACAATATTCCCTGACTAGGCAGTGGCTGGCTTAAAAACAGGAACTGTGGGTTTATAAGTAAGTGGTTCAACAAAACAACGGAGACTTCACTGCACATTACAGAGGAACAAAGGCCCTTGAGGTGGGGATACTGCTATATTCAGAGAACAAACACTCATTTAGTCTTAGGACTAAGAGCTGTTGCCATAGACCTTTAAACAATCCAGCTGATGTAGCGATTTTTACAGAACTTGAGAGTTTTAGAAGGTGACTTAGGTGTCATTTAATTCCCCTCCCCCACCTCCTTTCACAGATCAGAAACCTAAGGCCTAGAAGAAGTAAAAGGGTTTGCCCAAGGTGCGTCATTGGAAGTTTTGAGTTGAAAGCCACAGAAATTGACACTGGCCAAGTGAGACAGAACAGGAATGTGTTGGGTAGGACGGAGCATCACTGGGAACGCTGGACTTAGAATTGATGTCAAGCAAACAGAAATTATGCCCCAAACTATGGCCTGAACTGGTTCTAATGCAGAAATCAGCTGCTGCAGCCACCACCTCGAGAGAGAGATCTCCCTGCCCCTTTGTCACTAGTTCCTGAGACACGCTGGTGTCATAGCTGTATCCGAGCTACAAAGGAATCTTAGAAAATTAATAACTTGTCTTTATGTATCTTTTAAATTAAGAGGCAGTCTTTACTCAGATACATTACCTTCCAACAGCCACACCCCTCCCAAGGAACACACAAAATGCTGGAAATTTCACAGCATAGAAATTCCAGACATGGAAAGGGTTTAGCCACTGGCAGCTAAAGTAAACAACAAATGTCAGCTCTGTGAGACCTCTCAGTGGGCTAGGGGCAACTCTGGGACCAGCTCCTAGTTTGAAATTTTTTCCTTCAAAAATATATTTTTTGAGACATATATTTATATACATGTGTACACAAACATATATATACATGCATATATATTTAAATAATATATTGATAAATATCTGTTTTAATGTTTATATGTTAATGTAATATGTATATCTGAAGCATTGTGTTAGATCCTGGGACACAAAGTAAAAAAATGAAATGGTTATTACCCCCACAGTATAACTGAGTGGCAAAGCCAGAAATAGAGCAAATAATCACAAAAATTGATATGTATCATAAATTAATCATAAATGGTGACAAGTTCTAAGAAGAAAATATAAAGGCAGCATCAAAACATAATAGGAAGACTTGAATTCCATTTCGGGAATCTTCTCTTGGAAGTGACATTTTAGCTAAAGACAACTAAGAAAATCCAGAGGAATGGAATTAATTAATTGAGTTTTAAAAAAAATAATGCAGTAATACAGTTCAGCTTTCCCACAAACTGCCCTTAGAATCCACATGGGGATTCTCTGCATGTGACCCCTCAGTGGTCAGTGACATTCAGTGAGCAAAAAGGAGTCATTTGAGGGAAACAGAAGTTTATGTTTATGAGTTTTAAATATATTTCACAATCAGTAGGAGAGAACAAAGCAAAACAAAATGCCTCCACAGGTATAAAAGGGACAGAGGCACTCAAGCCAGGGGTCTAGGGACCGCTTAACACTCATCGGTAATTAGATTAACTTTGTTTATTCCATTACTTATTCATTACAGCAATCTTGATTAAGCATCTGGCAGGCACCAGGGAGTGGGGCACAGTAGCAAACAGGACCTGCTCACCAAGCAACTATCTTGCAAAAAATAGGAGGAAATACACGATTCCAGAAAAAAACTATCCCAGGTGCTCTGGTGGCCCAAAACAGACCGACTGAAACTAGCCAGAGGGACCAGGGAGGGTCTCTGTGGAAATAAGGGACATTAAGAGGTATTTTCCTTCCTGTCTCTCCACCCACCCCCTCCTTAAAGCGACAGTGTTCATGCATTGAGCGAAGGTTTTGACAAGCAGAAATACCCAAAGAAGCAAAACATTCATTTCTCAGCTTCCGAGCCTCAAAATAGAAATTTGAAGCTTATAGAAGAGAAGATAGTTGAAAGAAAAGGGTTTTAAGGGTGAGAAAGAAATAACTGCGTGTTCACAGCCAGAACCTTGAGGAACTCAGGGTATTAAGGTTACTAGGTGAACAATTTAGACAGATGCACATGGATGCAGGAGCCAATTTTCCCACCTAAAGGCAGGTAGCGGGCCTGCAGCCTGACGGTGAGGAAGGGCACCAGAGGAGCCGGTAACTGACCTTGAGAAGCTATCCTGAAGTTGCTCCACGGAGCTGAGCACGAGGGGCCAGGGATGGGCTGCAGGAGCAATGGACACTTACTACATTTGGGGATATGAAAGCAGAAAACTTGTGTCTCACTTCCCAGGGTCCCAGCCAAGCTCTCAACACCGACCTGATAGGTTGCAGTCAAAGGATGGAGAAGTAGCTAGAATTACTGCTGAATCTAAAGAGGCATTGCAGTTGGAACAAGAGGGATGCAAAGCAACCCATGAAAATTGACAGAGATGAGAGGGAAAAATAAACATCTCAGTAAATCCAGGGACAAGAGATGACAACAATCAGACCAGAAGCCCCTACCCACTGGCATCGCAGAATTAGAATGACTTCCCTAGAACTCATACGTAGTAGCCCTGGGAAGAAGAAGAAATCCCTCAATTCAACTGAATTTAACCTGATTGTTTAGTGTTGTTTGTTTTACAAGGCCAAATGTAGGTATAAAAATGAGATTATAATAAGTCATAGAAACGTAAAGAGAATTTCTGTTTTTTCGGGGGGTTGTTTGTGTTTGGGAGATTTTTGCACACCTCTGTAGTCTGTGCAATTTCAGGATTCTACAAAACCATGATTTTTAAAAAATTAATTAGAGGGAAGCTACAAAATATAGAGAAATGTTCATAACTGAAACATTAAATTTTAGTTTGACAAGACCAGACTGGCAAAATGCAGGCCAGATAATGACCCAGCTAGAAATAATTAGAGTACACAAAAAAGTAAATGATTTTGATCCTAGAATCCAAGGAGGTGGCCTTGAAGTAGGAAGCTTTTAGCAGGCTTTTCTGCAGATCAGAAGCACCAAGTGCACAAGCAAATTGCCAGTCCTGGGAAATAGTTAAAGGGAGGAAAGGTTTCTAAGAAAAGGCCCAGTGTGAAGTTGTTACTACTTGTTTTTACTCAGTAGAAGAAAAAATCAAGGTCAAAATTAAATAGTAATTGAAAACATTTTAAATTTAGTACAGAAGACTTCGCAGTAGAAAGTTGTATTTTTCTATGTGGGTTGAATTTTGACTTAGCATTTCTTGCACAAATGTAGATAATTAGACACATTTTATATTTAGATTATATATAGACATATTATATAATATAGCATATGATATAGATGTTATATATAATATAATGTTGTTTAATACATGTTAGAAGACTGTATCTATAAATAAAATCATATATATATATATATATATACACACA